GCTCTCTGTGCTCAGGGGGGAACCTGCCAAGACACATGTTCAGTTACTTACACATTTTCAGGAGTTGATTTTATGGGCCCAGTTCTTGGATCTCCTCATATCTAGAAAAGCCCTGTTCCTATGACTAGCAGAAACCTTCTGCAAAAATCTGAGCTTGATGGCATGTACTCTCCCTTCACCAGAACCACGTGTACACCGTCCTCCTCCACCCCACCCGCCTTTGGAGCAGTCTCTCCGAGCTCTCTGAGGCTCTGTCTCCCTGGCTGCCGTCCTCACTTCGTCCCAAATAAAATTCGACTCGCAGCTCTCCCGAGGTGCATCTTTTTTTAAAGTTGATGTGGCCTGGGAAACCACACACAGGAACGGCTCCTGTGTCCCCCCACCTGGACCCCCACCGGCTCCCTCTTCCTCAGATCTGCCCAACATGTGCCCCTCACTGGGTCCCCACAAGCCACCCCAGAGGTGACCAAACCAGGGCGCAGCCTGCGCATGTGGACACGGACGGGGCTGGGTTTGGGCTGAACTGCGTGAAGCTGCGCACTTCGCAGGTCAGATACGGCTGAACACCCGCCACTTGGCGTTGTCGAGGCTCCTGCTGGCCCATCCCGGCCCGGACATAGGCCACCAGCTGTGAACAGGCNTGGGTTTGGGCTGAACTGCGTGAAGCTGCGCACTTCGCAGGTCAGATACGGCTGAACACCCGCCACTTGGCGTTGTCGAGGCTCCTGCTGGCCCATCCCGGCCCGGACATAGGCCACCAGCTGTGAACAGGCTCGGGAGGCACAAGTCCAAACAAGCATCCTGGTGTTCGGGCGATGGCACAAGCCGCTGGCCTCCAGGGGCCCAGGAATCACCCACGGCTCTGAGCATGGCTGTGTGCTTCGGGGAGAGCGGTGGAGGGGGCTGGCTCGAATCCCTCCCCACCCACTGAGGTCTGCTCTCCTCAGCGCCCAGGCCTCAGTTTCCCCATCTGCAAGTAGGGCCGGTGGCATCTCAGAGGCACTTGTGTCAGAAATGAGCTGCTCCGTGGAGAGCAAACACGTGTGACCCTTGTCGCAGGAGTGGCCGGGGCCAAGGCCCCCAGACGGGGCAGCTCAAGACGACAGACGTGTGTTCTCTCACTGCCCGCAGGCAGAGTCTGAAATCAAGCTGGCCCAGGGCTCCAGGGCAGGGCCTTCCTGCTCTTCCAGCCTCTGGGGGCTCCAGGCGTCCCTGGGCTTGTGGCCGCAGCCCTCCAGCCTCTGCTCCGTGGGCACGTGGCCCTTCCTCTACGCGTCTTTCCTCTCCTGTCTCTTGTAAGGACACTTACTGCGTTCAGGGTCCACCTGGGTGATCCGGAGTGGCCTCATCTCAAAGCCCTCCCTTCCCCAGTGAGGTTCCAGGGACCGACAGGTGGTGTCTCCAGGGGCCCTGTCCGGCCCAGGACACACCCCACACCCGTGTTGGTGCTGTTGTCGCCAACACGCCGAGAGCGGATGCGCCTCCCGAGGCTGCGCTGAGAGCGGGGTGTGCACCAGGCGCCCCTGGCCGCCGCAGGCAGAGACCACGGGGGCTGCGGTGGGGCAAGGGGCCAGCGCTGCGGAGAAGAGGCGGGGGGTGGGAGGACAGGGCGGCCGGGGTGAGGTCTCGGGTACCAAGGCGACCCGGGAAAAGGCGACCCGAGGAAAGGGGGAGTGGCAGGGAGAGCATCCCGAGACCCGGGGGTGCCCTGGGTGGGGCGGGGCGGGCCCTGCCTCCTGGGTCTCCAGGCCTGGAGGCCACGCAGTGATTCATGCCTTAAAGCAACGTGCAGAAATGCGGGGGCTGGAGACCAGAGCCCTGCCAGGCGTCAAGGCCGGAACCCTCGCTCCACAGGCCGCGCCTCTGCTACAGAAGCGGGTTCAGAGCCAAACCCACGAACTGGAAAATATTAGGACACGAACTGGGAGACCGGGATCCGCACTGTATAAAACAGGTAACTAACGAGAACCTATCATCCAGCACAGGGGGCCCTGCTCACTGCTCTGCGGCGACCTGGCTGGGAAGGAAGAACAAAAAGAGGGGACAGGACTTCCCCGGGGGTCCCGGGGGTCCCGGGGCTAAGAATCCGCCTGCCAGTGCAGAGGGCACGGGTCTGACCCCCGGTCGGGGAAGATCCCACGCGCCGCAGGGCAGCTAAGCCGGTGCACCTCAGCTCCTGAAGCCCGCCTGCTCTGGAGGCTCCGCAGCCGGAGAGGAGCCCTCCCTCGCTGAGACTGGTACAACGCTCTCGCAGCGGCAAAGACCCAGGCAGCCAAGCATAAATAAATACATGCAATCGTTTTTCAAAAGGAGAGGGGATATGCATGGAAACATACAGCTGATTCGCTACTAACACAACACCGTAAAGTGACAGAGAGAACATGTCAGCCGCTCAGTCACGTTTGATTCTGCGGCCCCGTGGACGGGAGGCCCCGTGGACGGTAGCTCCTCTGTCCATGGGCTTCTCCAGGCAGGAATACTAGAGTGGGTAGCCGTTTCCTTCTCCAGGGGATCTTCCCAATCCAGGGATTGAACCTGGGTCTCCTACACTGCAGGCAGATCCTTCACTGTCTGAGCCACTGTAAAGCAACTATACCCCATTACAAAACTATTTTTTAAAAAAAGAAAGAAAAATGTTAGGACACACAGCATCTCTACACGGGACTTCTGACTTGCGCGCCGAGTCCCCAGGGCCGCAGAGCAGCCCACGGAAAAGGCAAGTCTCCGGCAGGACCAGCTCGGGACATGAAACTCGGACAAGTGTTTTAACCCCCAAGGGTCAGTGAGCAGCTGGGACCCCCGGGGGTGAGGCTGGCAAGTGGACAGTCGGGACGGGTCCTCGAGAAAGGGGCCAGCAGCTGCAGGCCCAGACCACCCAGAGCAGGACTGCCCAGGGGCCAGCGTGGGGTCCAGCCCTAGGCCGGGCACGAGCTGTCCGGGAATGGTCAGGCCACGGGGAGGGAGGCTGCGGCCTGGAGGGGTTGGGTCCTTCCTCCCAGGCCACACGGCCAGGCTCCTGCCCCACTGGCCCTCTCCCACACACCAGGGAACCAGGGAGCCAGCTCGGCCCGAGGAGCATCCCCAGACATGAGGTCCAGGCCCCCGCTGGACGGGGGGCCCCAGGATGCCACTACCGGCTGTCCACGCGCCTCACATGCTGAGGAGGAAGAGCAGGGCTGGCCCACACGAGGACATCACTGTCTGAGCTCATCCTGTGGACGGGAGGGGGGCCCCTCCCACTTCCAAGAAACTGGCTGGGAGGCCGGGTCCAGCCAATCGGGCCCCGGGGACGCAGGAGGATTTAGGGCCCAGGAGGAGCCCGGGCGGTGGTGAGCAGCTGAGAGGCGCCGGTCAGCAGGTGAGAAGCCTTGGGGGCCCCTGCACCCAGCCCACCTGCTCCCCACCCCGGCGCTGGACACCCCTGAGGACTTTTGGGCTCCCGTGGGCCTGGGTGCTGGGGTGAGCGTGGAGAAGCACACTGTGGGTGCGTCATTCACAAGCCAGGACCCTGGGCCCTGATTTGCGTGTACCGGGAGGGTGTTCCCACTGAGAGCCGGCCGGACAGCCGTCCAGGTAGCCCCCTCCACTCCTCCTCACCTCCTGCCGGGGCCAGAGCCCCGCCCCCAGCGCTGGCCCTCACCCTCCACCCGACTCAGCCCCTGGGGTCCCTCGGGGAGACGGAGGCCCCGAGGGGGGCTCAGCACAGTCCCCCACCGTGACCCCTGAGTCCAGCTCGGCTCTCTGGGTCCCCTGACACCACCACCGCCTGCCCGTGCCCCGCTCGGGGAGATCCTGCAGGGGGTCAAGGCGAGAGCCCCCGAGCAGCCCCACTAAGCCCCGCTCCTGGGCGCGAGGACAGCCACACAGAAGGGGCAGGCGACGACCCCGGCCTGGGAGGCCGGGAGGCTGGGAGGGCCCGAGGGGGCTGCGGAGGTTTCCAGGGCCCGAAAGGAGGCAGACCTGGGTAACGGGCTGTGGGGGGAGGTGAGGATGGTCCAGGCAGAGGCACAGCCCCGCAGGGGGGCGCCTGGGGGAAGACCCCGAGGCTGGGAGGCGGGCTGTCCGTCCCCACCGTGTCTCTGGGGGTCTCTGTGTCTCTCTTCCTGTCTCTGTCACTCTGCGGGGCTCTCCCCGCGTGGCTCCCCGACTCCTCACCCTAGGGCCCTGGCAGCCGCTGCGAGGCTGAAAACAACGGCCGCGTGGACTCTGCGGAGGGGGCAGAGGGAAGGGCACCTCTGAGACCCCGCCAGCGGGGTCTGCCTGCCCTGTTCCGGGACAGGGTCTCTTCCCAAGGAGCTGGCAGCAGACATTTGTGCTGGTCTCTCCCGCGGGCCCGGGGCTTCGCCGCCTCCCCAGGCTTGCCGAGGCTGCGGAGCTGCATGCGGCCAAGCCGCCTGCAGCAGGAGGAGCCGGCTGAACTCCCGCCTGGTCCGGAGAGCCGGGGAGGCTAGGGGTGTCCTCTGCCTTCTCTCATCCTCCCAGCCTCCCACCACCCCCACAGCACAGCTCCCCACCCCGCACCCCCGCCCACCCTCCATGGCCAGTGGAGGACTGAGTGTGCTCATGGCTACCGCTGGTCTCCGCCCGGCTGACCCTCTGGGGCTGGTAGCCAGCAGGAGCGTAGTCCAGCCTCTCCCCACGTCCTTGAGTCGTGTCCGCACAGGCGCCCCCTTTGCCTGCAGCCCTGTCCAGCCGACGTTGACCTCTGCAACAACGTTGGTACACGGCCTTCTCAATCGCTCTTTGTGCGTTTAGTCTAACCATCCCAGCCGGGGGCAGGACCGCCCACCTGGTCAGCATCCTCATCTCCCCGGGTCAGGGTCAGCGTGTCTTACGGAATCCTCCTTTTCCCAAGAGGTCGTGGGGCCTGCAGGGCTGGGTGTGGGCCCGGAAGGGGCCGTCCGGCGGCCTCGGGATACGCCTGCCTTTGCTCATGCTGCCGACTCAATGTCTGTCGCTCCCCTCCAGGGTCCTGCCCACCAGCCACCCAGCCGGCCAGCATGTTCGGGATCTGGGGGACCTTCAGCAGCGTGGTTTTCTACCTAGCCTGCCTGCGCTACCACGCGGCCAGCGTCGCCGGGCTGCTGGCCCTGGCCTGCACAGCCTTCGCAGCCAGCCTGGTCCTCTTCGTCTGGGTGGCGTGCTGCTCCCAGCGCCAGCGCCCGCGGTTCTACAGCGCTGTGCTGGGCTCCGGGCTCCTGCTGCTCATCTGCGGCCTCCCCTACCTCCTCTGCTGGGCCCTGCGCCCGTACTTCCCGAGCTTCCTGCTGTCCACCTTCCTCCCGCTGGCCACCCTCCTGGCCTGCGTCCACTGCAGCGCCAGGCCCCTCATCTACTTCATGGTGGGCCGGCAGCCAGGCCAGCGGAAGCCTCTGCGGGCGGTCCTCCAGCACTCCCTGGGGGAGGGCGCCCAGCTGGGGGCCAGCGGGGTCTCCCTGCCCATGGGCCGTGTGTAGGGGCCGCCCCGGCCGCCCCCCATCCCTTGCCAGACCCTCCAGGACTCCACATCATTCCCCGGCTCACTCACTCTGGGGATCCAAGGGCTGGGGGCTGGGTGAGAGCCGTGGTCTTGACTCACCCCCAACCTGGCCTGCAGGGGACGAGGACCAGGCCAGAGACATAGCAAGGAAGTGGGGAGCCCCAGGACTGGGGCGAGGACGGGCACCCCAACTCCTGCCTCCCTCCCACCCTGCCGCCAGCTGAGGCAGGAGTGAAGGGGAGGCGGCCCCCCCAAGGCCTCCATGGGGGGGCTGGGCGGATGGGAGCCTGGGCACTGGCTGGATCGGGGGCTGTCCCCACTGAGGCCCAGCCCCCCAGGGGACCCCGCGCAGGACCTGCCCTGCAGTCTTCCCATTGGCCACCAGATGGCGGGGCTTCCCCACCAAGTGTGCGCAAAGTGGGGGGGTCGCTGCAGAGCCAGATGCCCCCTCGGCCCTCCCCGGACCCTCCCAGCCCCCAGGGGTCCTGGACACCTGCTGCCTGGAGGGTGTCCTTGCCCCCCACCCCCATCTTCAGCTTCCCCTCCTCCAGGAATCCTCTGCTCACCCATCACTCCCCGCCCATCCCTGCCCACCTGCCGCAGACCTCCCCCTTCCCCTGCCAGCACCCCACCCCCAGGGCTTCCCTAGTGAAGAAGGGGAGGGAGACTGATGGTGGGCGGACAGCTAGATGGACGGACGGATGGTGATGCGGAAGGGTGAAGGGGAGGAAGGAGGAAGACAGCTGATGCCATTCCTTTGCAGCTTCCAAAGCAGAGATCCTTTCATGTGTTTCTGATGATATTTTAAAATGATACTTCAGGGTCATTCTCAAGACTTTCAAGTCCTACAGAAAATCTTGGAAAGCTAAATCACCAAAACTTTTGGACTCAGAGGGAGGCACGTGAGGCATAGAACCCTCTGGCTGCGTTCATTTTTCTGATGGAGACCTGCAGAAATTTCACTTTTTACCAAAGATGAAGACGTTCTATGCCTGCTATGTGAAACCTGTTACAACAATGCCTTTTACAACACCAGGAGAATTGTTTTTAAAAAGTTGTCCTTTTTTCACTAGAAAAGGTATGTGCTGCTCATCCTTGGGACTTTGGAAAACACTAAGGAAAGGGAAGAAGACTTACCTGGACCCTTCCCCGGCCCAGAGACGCTTCTGCAGGTTGTCCACCCCTCCTGGGGTGGCCACCCCAGGTCCCCCCACCTGGTCCCCCCAGACTGTGCCCTGAGGACTGGATGATTCCAGCTAAGGGAGGCCAGGGCTCTGACAGCCTAGCAGGCTCAGGAAGGAGGGTCAGCGACCTCAGCCTTGGCTTTGGGGGTAAGATGGGGAGGGGCCGTCCATTCTTGGGACCACTTCACGCCGGACCCAAGGAGGAGTGTGGACTCCTTCCTAGAGTTCCTGGAAATGCGATGAGAGTGGGGCAGCCTCAGAGGGGCACCAGCATCAGCCCCCACCTCTCCCAGCCCCAGGAAATAGCTGCGGGGCCATCCATCTGTGTGCCGCCGACAGAGACAGACGGGCACCCGCGCAGCTGGCAGTGTCTGGGGTGTGTGATGAGCAGCCCAGTCTGGACAGATGGGCAGGGCCGAAACTCTGTCCAGCAACCTGCTGCTGGGCGAATGGACGCCAGCCTGGGCCCTATGGAGCCAGCGTGGCCCCAGTCCCGGAAAAGTGACGGCCACCTAGAGGGACCTGCAAAAGCAGGACTGGGCTCCCGTCCCTCTGGCGTCTCTCCAGCCGGGTGACCTCCAGCAAGTCGCCTGACTGCAGGGAGCCTCGTCTGCAGAAGGAGAAGCAGAGTACATCTCCGACCTGGAGTCCAAGGAAGGAGGCAGGAGGCCAGGCTGGCAGAGGGCGGACCGTGGCCTTCCTGACCTTCAAGGTCAGCCGCATTGCCTCTCCCACCTCCAACTCCATCTCTGGGCCGAGCTCCGCGTGTCCCCAGCCCCCCCTGACGGCTGGCACCCCGCTCAGCGCCCGGGCCTGTCCTTGTGTCTGTCTGTCCTGTGACCCTGGGAGCCTCCTGGCAGCGGGCGCCCTGCCCTCAGCTCCCCTGGTGCCCGCCCCGGCTGAGCACCCGGAGGGTCTCCCCGGCCCGGAGCAGCCTCCCACCCACCTCGTGCTGCACTTTCTGGCTCGTGTTTGAGCTTCTCAGTGTCCTCGTGTCTCGCTGGAAGGTGAGCTCCCGGGGGGTCGGGGTGGGGGCCGTCTCCCCGGGCTGAGAACCAAATGGTGGGGAAGAGCGTGGGGTGGGCGGACTGGTGGGTGGGTGAGCAGGTGATGGCGCGAATGTGCAATCCAGTGAATCAAAGATATGACTGAAATGGAGCGCCACTCAGAGGAATCAGCCCAGGCTGGCTCTGGGAACCTCCGGGTCAGCCAAGGCCTGACCACTGAGCTGACACCTGAGCAGGAGACGGGAGACCCGAGGGACCCAGGTGCTCAGAGCCACCCAGCCCATCACCAGCTCTCCACCACTCTCTCCCCTTTGAGCCAGCAAACATCAGCGGAGGCAGCTCAGGCCCAGGGCTGGGCAGGAGCTCAGGGGAGGGTCACGCCAAGGTGTGGCCGCTTCCGCAAGAGCTCAGCGTCTGGAGAAGTGACGGACACATCCATGCAACCCAAGGACGGCATGTGAAGAAGCTTAGAGAGGCCCCGTGTGTCTCAATCTGACCTTGAGAACCATCAGCGTGTCCACCCCTTTCTAGTTGTGCGTGTCCTGGTGTGGATGACAAACCATCTGGCCCCCTAGCGTTACAGGTGCAAGGAAGAGGGTCACATGTCCCCGCACTCATAAAGCAGAGGCGGCTTCCAGGAGGAGGGGGTGCCAGCGCTGATCCCGGGACTGCCGGTGTCAGGAAGGGACTGCCGTCAGTGGGGGGCAGTCTGAAAGGCCCCCAAACACAAGCAGAGAAGGAGAGAAACAAAGAAGGGGGCCCCCAGAGGAGCTGAAGGTGCTGGATCCTGGGATGGGACAGGTGTGCGCCAGCCACGAGACAGTGGCCGGCCCGGGGACAGCGGGCGAGGGCATCCCCGTGACCTTCTCCCCGGGCTGGTCTTTCCTGTGGTTCCGCTCAGAGTGAGCATGGATGCTGTGAAACAGGTCAAGTTTCAGCTGGTTTTTGTTTTCTTTTTTTTTTCCACGTGGATAACCAGCCTTTCTGACAACATTTGCTGAAAGGGCTTCCCTTCTCCCCTGAATTACATGGGCATCTTTACTGTAAATCGGTTGATTGTACATGGAGGCTTTACTTCCGGACTCTGTTCCCTGTTGGTCTGTTTTTCCTTATACCAGCATCCCACTGTCTTAATTAGCAGCATTAAAAATAATTCATGCAATCAGGTGCTCTAAGTCCTATGATTTTACATTTCTTCATGATTTACATTTCCCCATATGGTTTAGAAAAAACTTGACAATTTCTTCAAACATCTACTGAAAATGTGACTGGGATGGCATTGAATCTATTCAATTATTCTATAAAAATTCATGGAGGGGCTTCCCTGGTGGTCCTGTGGTGACTCCATGCTTCCACTGCGGAGGTCAAAGTTTCCATCCCTGGTCGGGGGCCTTGCTTCTGCTGCACAAGCCACAGCCAAAAAAATCATGGGTAACTGACATCTTAACACTATGGAGTTTTTCAATTAATAAGCATGTTAAGTTGCTAAGTCGTGTCCAACTCTTTGTGACCCCATGGCTTGTAGCCCCCCCGCCCTAGGCTCCTTTGTCCATGGGCTTCTCCAGGCAAGAATACTGGAGTGAGTTGATATTTCCTTCTCCAGGGGATCCTCCTGACCCTGGGATTGAACCCACATCTCTTGCACTGAAGGCAGTCTCTTGCATTTCAGGCAAATTCTTTACTGCTGGGCCATCAGGAAAGCATGTTTTAAACCCCGCCTCCCCTCATTTAATTCAGTCTTTGACTTCTGTGACAAAGTTTTGTAGTTTTTGGCATAGGTATTTTGCTCATGTTTTGGGAAATTTATCTCTAGGTATTTGAGGCTTTGACGCTATGCAGAATTATCTTTTAATTTCATTTTCCAATTGTTTCATCTTGACTTTTTATATGATTGATTAACTCTCCTGCCAACTTTCTAAATTAGTTCTAAGTCTTTTTAAGTTTTTGTTTATTTGTTTATTCATTTGGCTGTGTCCATTCTTAGTTGTAGCTCTCAGGACCTTCATCCTGCATCTCGGCATTTAAACCCTTAGCTGCCGCCTGTGGGGTCTGATTCCCTGACCAGGGTCTGGTCCCCTGACCAGGAATGAAACCCAGGCACCCTGCACTGGGACTGTGGAGTCGTAGCCCCGGGACCACCAGGGAACCCCCTCTAGTCATCTTTTTGAAGTCTGCTTAGGGTTTCCTATGAACACAATCATGTCATTTGCAAATAGAGATCATTTTCCTTTTATTTCCTTTTCTTCTTTTATTGCACTGCTAAGACCTCCCTTCAGTGTTGAATGGAAATGGTAAAAATGGCATTCCTGCTTTATTCCCAATCTTACAGGGAAAGAGTTCATTATCTCATCACTAAACATGATGTTAAATATAGGTATTTTGTATACACCCTTTGTCATACTGATATAATTTCCATCTACTCCTGATTTTCCAAAAGTTTTTTTTTTTTTTAAATCATGAGTGGATATTGAACCTCACTGCATCTTTTTCTTCGTGTATTGAGATGACCTTATGGTTTTTCTCTTTGGGGGCTTCCCTGATGACTCAGTGGGCAAAGGATCTGCCTGCAATGCAGGAGATACAGGAGATGCAGGTTCAATCCCTGGGTTGGGAAGATCCCCTGGAGGAGGGCATGGCAGCCCGCTCCAGTGTTCTTGCCTCAAAATCCCACAGGCAGAGGAGCCGGGCTGGCTGCGGCTCACGGGCTTGCAAAGGGCCGGGCACAACTGGGCGACTAAGCACACGGGCACACGGGGTTTTTCTCCTGTCATCTGTTACTCCGGTGA